TCCTCTGTTTTTCTGCTTCTTCTTCAATCAGTGTCATGGAGTGACCTGCGTGGTTTACTACGACACAAGCTTTGCAAACTGCCGTTTCACAGTTTTTGCAGAAGTATTTTAGTTCTTCACCTTTATGTCCTTGTTTAGGGCACCATGAAGGTCGTTTCAATACCGCTTCATAGTCCTCGTCTTGAAAGTCTTTGAGCGCCAGAACACGATGACCTCTATTTTTTCGGATGATTTTATGCGCGAGTATGCACTCATTGCACCAAAACGCGTAAAACTCAAAACAATAAGAGGTCTCGGAGCTTTTCTTGTCGCAGTTTCCGCATCGCACTTGGTTGGTTCTGCATTCCTTGATGGCCAACACATCAATCATACCGTTGAGGTAGAAACTGGTTGGAAGATCTTTCAGATCACCAGTTTCAGGGACTCTGCTGAGTGCTTGACAGTTTGGGCATATGATTGTGTCTCGGCCATGGCTTGTTCTGTGCCACTGTTTCAAGCAATTTAGGCAGAAACTGTGCAAACATGGTAGCTGTTTTGGATCGGTGAATATGTTGGAACAAACTGAACAAGAAACTTCTTCACGGAGATTATGGAGCAAGGTTTTGATATCCATGTTGTATTCCCGTTCAGAAACGATGAAGTGTAGAGGTGTGCTCTTTCTCGTAATCTAGCACGAGACAGTGAAGTCTAGATCATCTAGAAAATATCTTATGAACTAGCAGTTTGTTGAACTAACCTTTCCCGGCGTCAGGACCAATGAGGAATCGTTCCGATTGAAGAATTTGACTCCGGCATGCTCGGATGTTTATCAGGTCGGAAACAAATATGTGTTTGTGCTGAACTCTTTGCAGACATCGGTCATTTTCTAAATTTTTTTTCTCGTTCGCTTTTGATTTCACTTCTCACATTGCTGTGACTTATTTTAGCAGCACTTGCTCTGGGCGAGTTTCGCAATCATCAGAAATGTTAGAATCAAAGCCGAGTCTGCAATCCGACCACTCCAAATGAAACCCAACCGGGAGCAATGGAATATTGTGACCTGATACAATCTTGGAATCTGCTCGGTTTTATATGATAATTGTGTTTAACTGGAAATTTCGTTGATAACTGTTGTGGTTTGTTATCGGTTATGCTTTATGATTCTTAAGAATGGGATTCTTTTGCGTGTTCAGGGTTGAGATGTTTTGCGAGGACGCGAGTGAAACCTACAAATGACTCGCTCGCGCGTGCTCAGCGTGAAATTTCGTTTCATGTCACCTTGTTAAGTTTTTTTTTTTTTTTTTGCTGTTAGCGGCGATTACGTTTTCTTTCGCTTTGATAAATTCACTTATAGGTTGTCTTTGAAGAAAAAGTCCCAAGTTTATTTGCTACGAAAAGGCTCTCTTTGTGCTCTCTATTTTCCTCTTAACTTGAAATAATTACAGATACAATCTCTAACTATTTCTGTTTTCTCTGCAGGCACTATTTATGAGGGAACCGCAAATATTCAACTTTCTACAATTGCCAAAAATATGAAAGAATTTGAACCATGATGATAGAAATATGATCCTCTGTTCCAACACTAATCAGGACTTGACTAACAAACTTTCATTGGAATGGAGATGGGAATCTTAAAGGAATCAAATGCTATTGGTATCAGACAGTTGCCTTTACTGTATTATTGTGGAAACGGTCAGAGAAACTCTTAGATTGGGATCTCTGGTGGTCCTCAACCCAGTGGCTCAAAAAAGGATCTTTTTCTCATCTCTAAATTAAAACAACGGTGTGGCAGGTTATGGATTTGTATAGCGGAGACAATCAAAGAACCGTACGAGTATGGCAGATAGAGTGATCTAGTCCAAGGCGGGATGGAGGTTTTCGTGTAGCCTGTCTCTTCTGGATTAGTCAAAGCTGACTCTGCATCAACTGTTAACATATTAACAGTCGAATTTTAGTTTTATCTGGTTCTTCAAGAAATTTTCAAAACTGTATAAGATTCTTTATGCAAGGAAAAGAACGAATGAGGCACAAAGATGAATTAAGAGCATTTTTGGGTAATCATAGAACAGTTTTAATGCTGGACTCCTGTTTTTCTTTCTTATATACTCCTGGGAGATTATCGATGTATATTTAAGTAGAGAGACCTTAGGAGCCTTTTTTTTTTTTGGAGAATGAAACATGTTAAGCAGAAAGGGAAATACTCAGGTTTCTCATTCTATTTTCTTTCAAAGGGGTAAACTGTATATATAATCTAATTTTTTATCGCAATTTTCACTATTTTCCCCTCTCCCAATTCGTTGTTGTAAAATCACTAGCTCGGCTCTAGTCGTCTCTTAGGATGTCTTCTAGGTTAAGCGACCAAGCTCTAACTACTTTGGGATTTTGGGAAAGCACTTAAAATCTTCTCAATCATTCGGTTTTATCCCATAATTTATGCACGTTTCTGTGTTTTCCAGCAAACATCGACTAAAAGAACACAGAAATTCTTTAAATACTGAAACTTTCACGGAAAAAAGTTTTAGACAAGCCTTTGATGTCAAAGAATCCGAGAGACTTAAGGGGAGTGTTGATATAAGATTTGACCTGATTCATTCCTAGTCGACATAATAGAGCCGGAGAGACGAAAATATTCCCAGAACTTCCACATTCTTTTTTCTTGAGTGAGATAGAGAGTTCAACACTTTTTGGAGCCGGATCACGAAATCTCGTACAAAATCCTTTTTTCGCCAGTTACAACGTTTTTTGGGAATATTTCGGAGACGGGCCAGAGGGAGAAGGTTAGAAGGAATGAAACCTGGCCCTGCCAAACCGTCATTGTTGGCTGCCCGACGTAAGAAGACAGAACTGGAAACACGTCAGGAGTTTGATGGAACCAAATCTTATTGACTCAATGGAATAGTGTCCGTTTTTTTCCTAGATGAACTCAGTGTTACTGCAAATAGATCTTTCCCCACTTAACAAATACGAATGTGGTGGCAAGCAGGCACTTTTTAAAAGTGTTTCAGCACAAGCGTTTCTTCGACCGCGAGAAGCTATAAACCTTTCAGCAACGCGAGCCGACGAGTGGTCTAGAAGAGGTCGATACTAACCCTGGCAAGCCTCTCCTAGACTTGCATCAAATCTTCCCGCGGGTTGAGAAATGCACGTTCTGCAGCGCTTATAATCATGAGGGCCTATGGATGCCCAGACGTAGTTTAATCGCTCGAAACATTTCTACCTGAATACTTACAGGATGGTTTTTGGTAACAGGGGTAGGTTTCTGAAGAAACTGGTGCTGCGTCGTTGGGAGAGTATTACAGGGTAATTAAGTAATGTCAACTATGGGGATATTACTAAATTACCCTGATTTTTTTGTAAGTTGACTTATCAGAAGTAAGTTGCTGCCTGACGGATCGAAAATAACTAATCGCGACTAATCAACACAGCTTGAGTTTTACAGCCAGTACAAGGCATCAATCATCATCAATTAATTTGGTAGGGGGAGGTTGCATTGGCGAATTCGGTCGGGGGAAGGGGGTGCTGGTCCAAAAAAAAGGTCTCTAGATTCGATCTCCAGATCTTGATCTCCAGAGGTTGGTATTTCTGCTGTTAGCAGAATGCACTTACCATGCAAAAGTATGTTTGGCCGATGTTCAAGGACAACAGCACCTCATTTGGACGAAAACATCTCCCAAGTCATTTGTAACTGGACCTTTTACAATGCTCTCCAAAGAGGAGGAAATGTTGAAAGAAACAGGTAATGTTTTATTCATCCCAAGCTAAAGCTCCCGTGATTATGAGTATGAAAAAAAAACCATGAGATAATTGCAACACTAATCAGAACAAAATTTAGTGTCACATGGAACCAATCAGAATTCAAACTAAATGTATGTGGTTAGTTTCAAGTGGGTTTAAAAAAAACCTTGAATAATTAAATTGTGATGAGCCTCATTTTACATTCTATTCATTGAAGAGGAGGCACTGAATTTAACTGATTGACTGAATATCAAACAAAAACAATACCAAACCACTTGTGGATGATTCTCTACACTCAAGAAAAAATTGCACAAGCAAATGAATTAGCAGTGATCAAATGTACATTCTTCAATTACAAGGCAATGTTTTAATGGGTCTGAGATACTGAAATTTTCCCAATCTTTGAATTTGACGAAAGTCATTTTTCTTGCATTTCTTTCTCTTTGTCAGTAAAACTGTGCTTTTGCTTTTCCAGTTGCTAGGTTTGCTATGGAAAAGATACAGCCACTAGTATCAGATTTAATTTAGCAATGGATCAATCAGTCATCAGGGGCATTTTTGAACAAGAAGTGAGTTGAAATGTAGTATTATTTAATGGAAGGGTTCAAATTTTAAAATTAATTATTTAATGTGTTAGCTGTAGTTTTAACCCGACTGTGCATGGCTATCTGATTATCTTTTTCCATTCTCCTGGTCTGTCAGCTGGTCAGGCAAATGATTGGTCAGTCTTCAGTTAGTCAAGATAATTTGGTTTATCAACCGAGTTAATAATGTAAATTGGCCTCCGTAAAGAGTTTCAAAGCTGATGTTTCAAGCATTAGCCCTTTGTCAGAGCAATTGATTTGCTCAATCAATCATCCAGCTAGCCAATTAATTAGTCAGTCAGTCAGCCAGACATGGCTGACAGAAAGAGAGAAAGTCAGTCATTTCAACTCTACAACAGGTTAAACATATTTTTTATATGAAAGCTATGCTACTTTTTCTTCTACCTAAGGCAAAGTCAACAAGCTAATTGTTTAGTTAACTAGCATTCAAACAGCCCATCAGTAATAAGCCAGACATTCTTGACACAATTGATCTAGATAGATCTTACACAATCTGGTCCATCAAGTTCAGATTCATGATTTCCTCCTCTCTCTTGTTGCTATCTTCATTTGCTTTCTAGTTAATGGGGATAGAAGTGGATGCTAGTTATGGAGAAACAAACTCATCCTCCTTTGTATCCAGGTAGCAGTCTTGTGGTTGAAGAACTGGCCAAGATTGATCCTGCAGTCAGTGTTATGTGTGATGTGCAAAATACTTTAATTGTCACATTGTTTAGGAAATATGGCACACCTCAACAGAGAGCAGAGTACTTGCCAAAACTAGCAGAGAATTTGGTATTTAAACTTTTATGCTTATGACTACAGCTTGGAGCAAAGGGGGCCGGACAAAGACAGGAGAGAGGGCAAACTCTTGTCTTCATTAATATTTTGGCCTGGAGCTCTATGCACTCTTAGCAAACCTTAACCCTCTACTTTTGTACAATTCAAGGTGTTTCCTTGAAGCTTGAACCTAAGGAACATGTTGATCATGAGTCAAGTTGTTACATGTTTTTATTCACCTGTCTTCCCAAGATCGTAGTGTCCAGGTCTGTTCAGTTCAAAGAGAAACAGACCCAGGACAACTATCTTTTCCTTTTGGCCCACGATCCAACT